AAACGCGCGAGAGACTCGCCCATCGCGCGCGCGCGCGCGCGCGCGTGTTTACAAATAAATTTTTTTTTTTTTTTTTTTGCCGCTGTTTTAATTGATTTTAATAAAATAAATTGTTGTTATTATTATTATTTTACTACGTGTTTATATCAATTTGAAGTTTAAATTGGCGAAACGTAATGCAGACGCATTATACTCAATGATAATAATGTTAAAAATTTTAACGACGACGGATATAATAATTTTTTTATTAAATGGCGACGACTGAATAGTACTAGTACTATGTTTGATGAGGAATCAGCCGATTCACACATAAACGTGTTAATTGAAAAAATGTGTAAAAAAAATTGTATATTAAATTTAAAAATCGACTTTGAATTAGACACTATCAAAAAAATTGTGAAGCAGGATACATTTCCAAACATATACAAACTGTAACAAGTAGCTCTAATCATACCGATAGGTTCTGAAACATGCGAGCGATCCTTCTATTGTATGAGATTCATTAAAAATTGGTTTAGATTATCAATTGTGCGAAATCAGTTTTCAAACTTGGCCATTATAAATATTGAGAGGAATATGTCAAATAATATAAGTAATAATTACATATCGGAAAAATATAATACTTTACAACAATTATTTGTATTTATTTTTCGAATGTAATTTCAATAAACCGCCCCGTTGAAACGCCGAAAAGTGTAACGGAATAGTAATTAATGATATAGGGTACGATCAGAAATGGGGTGAAAAATCGACGATGTCGAAACGAAAGTCTCAAAACCGAGTCGGTTGTTATACTGCACGGTTCAAAGTATTTGAGCACTCAAAAAGCTATATAATGCGTCCGACAGCGAGGTAAAAAAACAAAATGGATCGTCTATAAATTCACAACCCCGGTCAATGCCGCGGACGTTAAAAAAAACCGATCACGTACGAGCCGGACTCGCGCGCTGAGGGTTCCCGGGGTACTGCAGTATAATGCAGACAACTTTAACAAAGTGCCTATCGCGTATTTCAATCGTGATCGGACATTCTCTCGACTTGGTGTTCTCAAACCCATGAAACGATATACATGCATAGGTATGCATATAATATAACTAATCGCGTACACAGGTATACATATAATATAGCTAATCGCGTACATTGCAAATCGATATCCCGTTTCGTTCAAGTGCGCCCGCGGGCGGAGGAGGCAAAAGAGGTCGATCCCCCTCCCCTGGGATTTTCGACTGTATATACTTTTATAACGCATAATAACCGACCGTTTTACCGTGACACAATATCAAACACTGGGCCCCGGGCCTGGAAAAAACCAAAAAAAAAACATAATAATTTTTCATAACGAGGTTCAAAAATTATTCCGTTATAAAAGCGCGTGTTATCGATTTAAAAAAAAAAAACAATAGGATAAAACTACTAAATAATTCCGTTTTCTTCGCGAGTTCTCGGTATTCGTATTAAATTGTTATTATCATGGTTTAATAAAACCGTACGATCACTGTAGTGTTATACAAAATCCGGTATAATGTTAAAAAAAAAAAAATAAAACTACATCTCTATACGAAATTTGCTAGTTATTTATTTAAAAATTTCCGCGGTGTTTTATACATTATTAAAACGATTTATGTAATGGAAAATTTGTTTACAACCATTCCCCCCCCCTCCTCCTTCGGTTCGGTTAGAATATAAAACGTTCTAAACTGTATTATAGTTTTATTATCGCATAATAATATTATGTACTCGTATATAGTGCAGACCTGTGCGGAATACGGATACACGGTATTATAATCCCAGAGGATCCATTAAAACCGTTCGAATGTAATTTCGTTGATAAAATACGTACGTCGTCGTCGTCACACCGGTGTAACAATTTAACAATACCGTACAAATAACATAGGTATTGTATTATATATATATATATACGATCCGAACGCCTGTATACCTAACCTAATAAATTATTTTTGTTTTTCGACCAGAATCTACGTATTTAAATTCAGTACCTTCATCGTTTTTTTATTTTTTGGTTTTTGGCGACATCCTAATATCATACCCATTCGGTCACGTGTTAAGTGCAAAAGTCGTCAGCACATATACGAGAGGCGGGAAAGTGGGGATTTTAAGTGTTTAAACACGAATTTTTTTTTTTTTTTTAACAAATTTTGTTTAGTTTGATACCGAAGGAACATTTCTACGCCTTTAACCGATGCAGAAGAGGTCTTGTTATTAATGAACCGGGAAGAAAATTTAGGCGTCTAGGGAATATCATTGAATCAATTGAATTGAACTTGACATTTACATTTAAAACAACTCGCGGTTTGACGGTTTACACAAAACGAATTATTTTATGACGCGCAAAATCAATTTTGACTACAATATTCTAACACCGTCATTTGTATAGTTATTTCCACCTCGAAATCTCCGATTTCCGCGCAGCCTTAAAATCGGTTAGCAACGGAATGCTAGTTCAATGTATGTTGTAACTCAGAACAAGTACCGAAATCTGCACGACGTTACCTAACGTTATATTTGTCTATTGAATAGTTAAAAAATCGATAAATTAAAAAAAAAAATTATTGTAAATACACTCGAGTAATATATTCGTGAATCTATGTAAACAAAAAAAAATATATATATATATTTATTATGCCGCTATAATACTATACGTTAATAATATCATTTCGTAACCTCAATTATAAGTTTAGATGACGTCATTTTATTTGCAATTATGTTTATAACATTTATAAGTATAATATATAATCTAACTCTCAATTTGTAGTGGAATAAAAAAAATGATTTTTCTGAGAATTATCGAGCTATAAATATGTACTTAAATAAGAGGGTTTTTTTTTTTTTTAAGTTGAGTGTTTTTCAGATTGCTGTTACTAACCAGTGTTCAGCGCATCTGCGGAGATATTATTTAACTATATTTAGGAAAGAAAAAAAAACGATAGGCCTGAAATAAAAAATGCAGTTTGGTACTATTATTTAATGGCGAAGGAAAAATAGGAGAGAATATGAGGAGTATGCATATTATATGTATAAATTATAAACGCGTGTTTCTGTACTTTTAATTTTTGACGGATTGTACATATTATCATTATGACGAGGAGATCGGAATCGGCGAACTTAAATACGACAGTCAAATGGAGACTTTCCTGGTACTCGACCCGAGAACGTATTTAGGGGAATTTGGGGGGTGGGGGGTATTAGCCGTATTTCCGGGGGCGTCATAGTTTTTGGTGTGGCAATTTCTATACCTCGTAAGTCAGGGAAAAGAAGAAGACATTTTCGAAGCGGGTTATTTTGTAAAAACTAATTTCGACTCTCCCTCGAGAAATCAGAAAGTCAGAAAGTACTACGCCATCGCGCAACCGTCTCGTATTCTTTCCGATATACTATATCGGTGTACAAATTTTACGACAGCATCACTATATATATATATATATATATATATATATATATATAAATAATCCACGAATCAATTCCGATTTGACGGATAAACGGAAAACAAAAATATGATTGAAAGACTCATCGCGGTGATCGAAAACGCGCAGTTACTTTTTTCACTATAGGTGTTATATATAGTATACACCCTGCACGCTCGTACCTGTACGAAATAAACTTTTCGGGAGAGTCGAAAATCTTCTCTGGTATATAAATAATATTTCGTACGTTTTTATGTCGTCGATCATAAAAATACAATTTTCGTAGACGTTTCGTCGCGTCGTGGTATATGTTTTTATACGACAGCGTATACGGAATCCTAAAAATCACGTCTGCAACGCCACTCACTCATATCACGGATAATATTGTCCGGCCGACTCGATCCTACTCAATATTACTTGAGCCCGAATCCTGCGATCCTGCGAAACCTGTGATATTATGCGAGGATAATATCACGGTTTGGGGGTACATATTTAAAAATTAATTCAAGACGTTTGTGATGAAAACAATAATGAATCAATAGTTAAGAGCATATATTGAGGTTACGAGTATATGTTGGGACTAAAAGGGTATCGGAGTGTGAATGGCAGGGTCAATCATCCTCACTTGACTCGCCACTGAATATAACAAAAAAAAGGGGGAGGGGAAACATTACCTACAGAGAAAAATATGCGGATATCGGACGATGACTAAGACGGTAATTTTGTTGTTTTAAAATTTAAATAATGTATAAGCAATCACGTAACACCGACTTGTTATCGATCTGATTGTCTTTGTGCGTAATAGATACTCGGTATATATTAAATAAGCGTAAAAAATAAAATCATTCATTCGTTGCCTGCGGTTATATAAATATAATCAGTCCGACTAATAGTCGATATTTAAACAAACAGTAATTGCTCTTCCAAATCTAAAAAATACAAAAAAGCAAAACAAAGAGCTGATACTGGGAATGGGAGTGGCTACTGTTGTAGGTGAGAAGTTGGGAAGGTAGGATACCTAAGGTTATTTCATTTATATCTATAAGTAATGATAAGCCATTGCTGATGAAAGACGATTCCGAGCGCAGTTCGGTAATACATAATTTGAAGTGCCGTAAGTTTTATTATTTTAATTAATAGTTAATAATTCAACAATAAAGGTCTCTTGTCGTTTTTCAATTGGAGCCATATTTGTGCTAGAAAACGTGGTAGGTACTTATTTAAAATAACGAAATCGTATTTTTTTCGCGGTTAATCGTTTTTATTTTAAATACCGTTTCGAAAATCAAAAAATGATTTATGTATTCACTAAGTAGATAAAATTGACTTTCAGAAAAAGTACTACGCGTATACATCGAAGCAAGTTTACTAGGAAAAAACGTGTCAATAGATCGAAACAAAGAAGAAAAAGAAGAAAAAAAGAGCATTGTAAAACCAATAGCTCCCTCGCTACGCTCGGAATCTAAAAGGTAAAAAATTAAGCGTGTTTATCAGTTCAATAACAGTTTTCCGGATTTTTCACCCGTGTAATTTGCAGATTTCGCTATATTTTAATAATATTTCGAGATTTAAATCAGAATAATAATTAAAAATAACAGCTGCAGTGCGTCCAGCTGCACGGCGGCGTTGCACGTAAAAAATAAAACGCGAGTAAACAATATACAAATTAACATTACGCTATTATAATCAAATCCGTTTTTAATTTATTTTTGAAAACTAATTTATTAATATTTTCCATTCGGCTACCCCGGTCTATAACAATCACTCCTCCCCTCTATACTAAAGTCTTTCTTCGTCCTAATATTTTATTATAACTCCGTCTTTTCTCAACGTTGACGGAATTTATAAGAACGAAAATATCAAGACGTATCAACCGCCTTGTTTACGGGTCGGATTTCCGAAAATCCTTTTTTAGTGCGCGTCTACGTTATACATAATAAGAGATTTTGAAGCCTTTGTGCTAAATGTCAAGTTTCCAGACCCGCGGTAGGAGGTCTTGAGATACAGCAATGACTCAGTATCGGCTAATTAAATATTCGGCTTTTTTACAATAACATAAACCGTATCAGGTAGATCGAACGAAAAATCTGAAATAAACAAAAAAAAAACCAAACCAACCCAGCAAACTTTGCACAACGCGTATTATAGGTGCCTATATAATTATAACTATATTATCCTTCTTATTATTAGATAACTGCGGGAAGGTCAATAACGCATTTCGCACAATACACGACGCAGAATAATAATCACGTTTCTAATCGGATTTTCGGGCAAAAAAAAAAACACAAAATAACAATAATAGAGACAAAAAAAAAAAAAAATTAAAAAAATAAATAACAACGCCGGCGTTTTATCGCACTAACGTTTCCATTATAACTGCGAAACATTGTCCCTAAACGTGATACGCGGACGGATATCAATATTATCGTAATACCTTATAACCACACTAGATCATACATTTGTTATCAACCGTATCATCGTGATAACGCCGACCGCGAAAGTTTGGTTTTCGATTTCAGTGTTATCGTGTAACCCCCCGAACGAGGAATATATTATGGAAATTAGGATCCGTTTTGCAATGAAGTTTTTTTTTGTTTTTGATAGATGTTAAGGTAAGTACTTCAAGAGCGGAACTATTGTTTTGCATTTCACGCTGTTTTCCGGTTTTCGGGTCGTTTTTTTTTTATAAGGGCGTGTTTGGCTATTTTTTAATTCTTTTTTTGACGAGACATTTAAATCCGGGTCTCACGATTACAAGTGATATTCAATATGCGTTCAATGACTCTTCCACCCATCTCGATATCGCGGAAAATATGTAATTCGCCGGATGTAATACCCATTATATCGAGTATATAAAAAGGTAAACTCATTTTTCGTCAAAGTGGGTTACCATGTTGTATATTATCGCGGGTAAAAGTGCTTTTACGCGATACGCCCACAATGACGCCCGTCGTTAGCCTTTTACAAACCGCAGGTCGATAAGCGTCTAATGTTAAAAAAAAAAAATAATAATAATAATAATAATATAAAAAAAAAAAAGACAAGAGTACATTATTGTGCGGGCGCGCACACAAACACGCCACCTCGGTGCAAAAGCCGAAAGGTTAAAGGCTTAAAATCGAAGAAACGACCGCCGCTTTACCCTATCGAATTCCCTCAAAAGCCGTATTCTCACACTTCTCCACATAGACGATTTGATCCTCGTTAAATTATAATCTCCTCCTTCGCCATCTGTCCCAGCTATTTATGGTCGTTAGATAATCGTGATAATCGAAATAATTCGGACATAGCGCACACGCGGAAATCAGAGACCTAAGGGGAGGGAGCAAATCACTCAAAGCCTCCTCCCCCTCTTACCGTTCCTTTTTTTTTTTTTATACAATAAGTCGCAATATCAAATCTTCTTCACTTATACGCCGACACGACGAAACATAAAAAAACAATACGAAACTATTGTTGTTGCGACAATTTTTGAATATTTTTAAATTTCATTTCCGCGTGTCGGTGTAACACCGATATAATAACTATACACTATGATTAATACTTAGTTTTCGATTTTTTTTTCCTCTCGCGTAATTTTACGTTTTTAATAGGAAAATATATTTTTACGATATGCACGATATTTTTAACTGAACATTTTTTTTTGTCCTCGGGGACGCTCGTTGGCATTGTAAACGCGACTTTTTATGTTAACGTATTTTTAAAAGTAAAAAAAAATATACAAGAATGTAGACGTGTCTAAGTGTGTGTGTGTGTGTGTGTGTGTGTGTGTGTGTGTATAGTGCTTCTGAGACGGCAAAGGAATTTTACGGGTCCTAGTGCGGAAAAAAAAGCAAGCGCATCGAATCGGCCCTCCCCGGGGCTACAATAAGAACCGAAACCGCTATGCGGCGCATACGCACACCGCCGGCGATTATTACGCGGGTCGCAACAACAATACTTACTACGAGTATACCGGCCGGGCCACATCAGTTCTCCTCCCGCCGTCATCATCCGCGCAATAATAATATAATTCTAATCCGTCATGTACGGTTTTCGCGCGTCTCTCTTCGCATTCTCTGCCTCCCTCTGCCACCCTGTCGTTCTCACTCACTCACTCTCTCTCTCTCTCTCTTCTATTGACGTGTACATAGGTACGTATTATACGAGTACGAATTATTTTCGTCGCACGATTCGGACACGGGCGGCGCGCAACACATACGAGGCACCTATACATTATACCTGCAGAGGTACCCGCCGCCGCCGCCGCCGCTGGAGAGTTCAAGGGCGCACACACATCGTTCACGCCGCACAGTTCGGCCGCCGAACGATTTTCGGATGGCGCGCGGCGGCGACGGCGACGGCGACGAAGACAACGACGACGACGAGCCCCTCGTCGTCGCGGCCGCCTCCTCACGCCGATGAGACGACGCTATTGAATGCCGCCGCATTATCGCCCAGTCATCGCCGCCGCCGTACAAACATCATTATTATTATTATTATTATTATTGTTATTACCGATACGTGTCGTACGAGCGAATACGCTCATCATCGCCGCAAAATATAATAAATAATAATAATAATACGCACACGCGAGCACGCGGTATAAATATTGCGTCGCGAACTCGCGAATGTTACGCCCCGCGGGCCGTATATAATATTGTTGTGACGTCAAAGCCATAACCCCCATCCCCGCGCCGTCCGCCCGCCCATGCAACTGCCGCCCCGAACCGCTGTCCGCCGTGCCGTGCCCGCCGCGCACCGCGACGACCCGCCGCCGCGGCAGAACCGTACACGACGGAACGGACAGCGGCGAAATATTTTATACGGTTCGCAACGACTACGACGGGCTTTCTTGCGGTAAAACGCATTATCATAACAAAAATATCGCGTACGCTTGCGCCTTTTACGGGTCGTTATATCCGGCAAAAAAAACTTCCGACTTTGAGAAACAAAAGGCTCAAAGCGCCCGAACTCCGCTAACGGAATTGGTTTTTTTTTTTTCGTTCGCCATGATTTACCGTTGTTTTTCTAAATATACTATCGACTCCATGACCTGCCCACGTGACGCGCACCGTGTTCGACTCTCTTTTTTTTTTTTCTAAATTTGAAATTCCATCGCCTTTCTCGCGTAAGCCTTTTGTTTTTACCCACTTTCCCCACTCCCCGACACCAGAACCGTACGCGTCCGAGTTGTTAAAAAAAATAACGTTTCGCGTCGCGACTTTCGCCCGTATCCAACATCCGACGGTGCAGTTAAACACGACTGTTATTCTATTCGCTCCCCGGAATAGTTAATACTTTCCAAATTAATAGTCTCATTATATTTTACTAATTTGTTTCCGATTTAATATTCATACGCGGCGGAATCCCGTATAATAATGTAAAAATCATTATAATAATTGAGTCATTATTGAGTTGTTGCCGCGGCGTGTTTGAAAATATCGGACGCTGCGGTTTCTCTCCCGTTTACTCGTGACATACTAAAAAAAAAAAAACTACACAAACGGACGGAAAATTATTGCGCGAATCGACTGCGTTCTTGAGTATTGTGTTATACGAGTATATACTTGTATATATATGAAAAAGACCGGGATAATAATATTCCGAATATGGAATGAGATTTGTTATGCAAAATATCGAAATCCGGTTATCGAGGGACCGAATCGCAAAAGGGCCGAAGTGCGAATATACCCGCCTAATAACTTCAGTGTGTAATATCGTTAGTGTTTCCCTCCCTCCCCGTCCGCGGATTCCGCAGGTTCTCTCCGCGAATCTCTCGAGTATTTCGCTTTCTACAATCACGCGACGTACGTATTATGGCGTTGATCTCATCGCTCAGACGGGTAACAGCTTTTACAAGCGGATTGGCGAAATCCCCGAATTCACTCGGGGCCGTTCTCACCAACGTGGCGTCGGTGAGGGCGTTTGTCTGGTTCTTAAACTGAGTTTGTGGTCGATAGCCGACCACGATTGATCGATTATCTTGTAAACACTCCGTTTATAAAAAGTTAACGTCTACGTTGGTGAGAACGGGCCTTAGTATGGCGCAACACAAACGCAGAGCCAGCAAACCGTTTATAAACGTCGCGAGACTATTTTTTAACCCCGCAAATAGATTCGGACGTCCGAAATTCGGAAAAATTGTTTACCATTCACGGCCGATTTTATTTTCCGACGGCCCGACGCAGTCACGTCAGGTCACTGCAGCCAGGTCACACCGCCGAATGTTTATGGATTTTCTCCGGTTTTTTTTTTCGAATTGTTATTATTATTTTTTTTTTTTTTTAACTTCGTCATCCGGGAGAGATAAACGCAATGTACGCATGTTAAATTCGACCCGTGTCCGGACGTCTCGCGACGGACCAATATTCGTTTGGATGCGTGCGGTCATGTATTGTACGTGGGTGTATAAACTATTCGGCTCGTATGCGTTTTACACGGGGCGTCGTCGTGCACAGTAGTATACATTATACAGGCAGTGTTTCAATAGTATATCGCGTTCGCCCGAAGCTTACGCGGGAAACAAAAAAAAAAAAACGATAAAATCGCCCAACACGTGGTTTATTTTACGTGTCTCTCGGCGCGTTAAAAAATTTCGTTACACGTTCACATTGTAGCAGGCGATGTGTCTGCATACAAGATACACTTAATAGACTCTGGTTGAATAATTTTTTTTTTTTTTCACCCGGTAAATAATCGCGGTACGTCGGTAACAATAGTAATTACCGTATACGCACAGTGTACAATAATTATTGTTGTACGGCTGACGATTTAATTTGACCGGCCGAAACGTAAGGGGAGGGGGGAAATAATCGTATACGCGTATTTCGTTTGAATCAGGTAACCGTGCTGCAGCGGCGCATCGGCGTCAACCGGAGTTCGAAAACAGCGCGCCGCGTTTTCAGTGCGTATAATTCGTTCTTACGAAAATAAGGAAAACACTGTGATATCACTCGTGTGAAATGTCCGGTTCACGATCCTGGTATAACGCACCCGTAAAATAATATCGATGCGATTTTGCAATGTTTCGCGAAATTACAATATCGCTGGTTTATATTAATTATTTATCGTAAAGCGCGTATTTATCATAATAGGCGAATTAATACGGCACCCATTGCGTCAGAATTATAATAATATCGAGAATATTTTAATAAGTGTTTATATTTTGCAGTATGCCCTTATATCCGACTCGGCATACTTGCTGCCGTAAACATTTTTATAAAAATATAATAATATGAAAATCGTGATAAAACGGTTATAATATATGAAATCGACGCTTGGCGAAAAATTATCTACGCTGTTAGAAAAACACTTTCAAAATCGAAAACGCGTACGATATTATTAAAATGTAATTTTTGCAATTTTTTCGTCCAAAATTGCACGTTACGAAGATGCGTATAGGTAACCCCCTTTAAAAATAATCAATATTTATGAGGAGGAATCGTGGTATTTTAAGATAAAAAAAAAATTTTTTGTGAAACGAAAATGTACGAAATCGTGTGTCATCCATGTATACGATATCGGCTGGTGCACCCCTACTTATTATTTCTTTTTTTGTATACTTAAAAATAATACATTGGGAGTAGTCTAAATTCGGAGTAATTTTTATGAATATTTTATACATTTTTTTTTTTTTTTTTAACTAAAATAGAATATTAGAAGCTATATCACGAGTACTTGTAATACTTAAAATATCTACAGGTATATTATAATAAACAATGCACTTATTATAGATAAGAATATTCGCAGTAAAAACTTGTTTCAAAATATAAAAAAACCCCACTAAATTAACCGTGAAAATGATATTTTCACGGTATATTATATGATAATGCAGATAATAATCGGGATTTGTGACAAAATCGTATAGTCCGTACACAGTTTTCAAGTAAAATACGCATGTACCTATACGTAAATGTACACGTTTTTACCACTAATAAACGCCTGTATAATTAACAATTCAAATCATTAACAGTCCGAACATAATTTGTTCGCATCGCGTGTGTCTACTTTCAGCCTTGAGTCGTGTCTTTTTTACATAAAAAAAAAAATATATATATATATATATATATATATAATATATACCATTGTTTTCCCATTTTTTTCTCTCGAATTTTTGCTAAAAATAAAAAAAATAATAATAAAATAACGCGTGTTTTCCGAGACCCAGGAAACGATATATACATATATATTATACGATATGAAAACATCATCCGTTCCAGACATTGCGCATCGGCCGCGATTTTCAAGGTAAATGTCAGATTTCATAAAAAAGTTACGCGAGTATTTTAATTTTTTTTTTTTTCGAAATTGTATCTGTCGTAATTTAAAAACATATGTAATATAGTGTATTTCACTCCAATGGTCACACAAAAACCGATAAAAACCCCATTTTTTTCTTTTCTTTGTGACGCCTGTCTGGGGGCGAATTTCTCAGATTGAATAAAATTATATTAATATTATAATCGGACTACCGATCGTGGAAAGTTTTACGTTAAACGCGTTTATCCGGTTAAGAACATTTAAATTGTATTGTGCATTCACAATACCCTACACTACAATAAAGGTAGGTTAACCTTTTAGAAAACGGATGCAAAATATATACTTTCAAAAACAAAACAAAAACCTTATTTCAGTCCAAGTCATCCGGACGCACTGGCGAATGGTCATTTTACGCAGACATAATAAACATTCTGTACGTTCAATTGAAAATTGAAACTTCGTTTACATATTAAGAAAGATACTAAACCATATAGTTGATAGTATATATTTATTATCGTACTTAGTTGTACAAAATTGCATTTTATTATAGTTTCGAACACTACCGCATAAACAAGTACAAACTGAGCGCACATCAATATTAAATAGATATTAAAAAGCGACTGGAAAAATTAACGTTTGTAGTGTCAATAATTTCGTAATATACGAGTATATGTTTTTCACTATGCATACTAACTACAGAATAACACAGACTGAGTAATTATTATAATATCATTCACATTTTTTCCATAATTTATTGTTGTTTTCGACCTCGATTTATCATGTTTTCGTGAAACGGGAACATAATATTGTTTTAATATTTTCCGATCGTACCGTACGAAATTTTAATAAAAACATATTACGTTTATTCGATTGTAATAAAATAATAATTAAATTATTATATATTATATATTATATATTATATTATAATATAATACATAAGATTATATGACAATATTATTCGATTAGTGTTATTAGTATTATTCGACTGGGCACAACGACTCGAACGACCGAAAATTTCGAATGAATACGAAATAACGTTCACATAATGTATTTTTATTGTATACTGATACAACAGATTAAAATAATTATTTGTTTTACGTAAAATATTAAATAATATATTATCCTATATATATGTACACATGTATATTTGTTTTTTGATTATGGACATATTGCTTAAATATTCTTATATAATTATATATTTGTATATTTAATTTGGAAAAAAATATCCTTTTTTTTTCTCTAAATATAATATTTGTTTTTAACAAATTTTACACTATACAAGTTATTTAAACGATACGACGAAAAAATGAATAAAAACACAAAACATTTACAGTCACATACGAACGTGTAGAATGTTTAATGGACTTATATAGATAATAATATTATGTCCGTTTAGGTCGTGATTGACGGTTTTCAATACTGGGCTCACTTAACAACAACAACAACAAAAAGAAACTATATAACCTTGTAAAAGGGTAAACCGTAAAAAAAAAATCAAATAAAAGTATATCAGTGTGAACTGATTTTATATGGAGATATATTCGACCTTATACGCTTTTTAACTGTAATTCACCAATACACATGTTTAAAATTAAATTTACTTCCTTATAAAATGAATGAAAAAAAAAAGAGATGCATTGGAAAAATTAAGTTAAAAATGTGTTTTAAAAAAAATGTACGTATAGGGTCATATATTAATGTACATAAACTGATTCGTTTTTTACATAGGTCTTGTAATAATAGATAAGTAAATAAATACTCTAAACTTAACTAAAAGTTAATAATATTAAAGACAATTGTACATTTGTTGATAGAAAAAAATTGTATTGTATTTTTTTTTTTTTTCATATTATTCTAATAGATATTAATATAAAATTGATAATGTATAATTTTTCATCACGAGAAAAATATGCTCGTTTAAAATGATCAGTGATTATAACTATTCTTCATGTAATCAAATGTATACGTGACAAATAAGTATAACAATTGTTATTACTTGAAATTCCAAGTTAAATGTAATTTATCAGTGCTAATTTTTCCGAAAATAAAAAATGAACACATATTTAGTTTGTATATAACGTTATTTAATGGAAGTATAATAATATAATATTATAATAACTAATATATTATATGAGTCAGCGTGTATAGTATTCGCTACATTAGGTATTTCGGTTTGGCAATATTGTTTACTATAATAATTGTTCGAAGTGTTTAAATGCACTTTATGACAATCAGGTTGCTGGAATTTTGTTGGACAATTAAAAAAAATACGTTTACTGGTTAGCCATTGGTAATACACTGTTTAGTAAAGTAAGGCTATCGGTTTCACATCGACAAACGGATTTAGCCCCAATGGTTTTTTTTTTTTATACCTCGAATTTTTTCATTTTCTTTGAAAACTGTGGTTAATGGTAATAAATAAGCCTATTAATTGTTAATCGAACTAGTAATAGTCAAAGAAGAAAACAAAATGAGTTAATTAATTAATTAATTAATAATTTAGATGTGTCCACGAAGTTTCTAAATTACCCTCAAAGAGCTTTAGGACTCCGCGGAGTACAGTTTGAGGACCACTGTATTATGCTATACAGAGTGTAACAGGACTATTCAAAATTTTTACATTGTAGTTACATTTACAAATGTCAAATATTCCAGTTACATCCTGTATCCCTATTTTATACAATATAGATAATGAATAAATAGTTAATATTAATAACATCAAATTAAATAAATAATAACATTAATAGCAATAAAACGATAGCAAAAGGGAACTTTGTATAGATATAAATAATACTGCAAATTCAACAGAAATTATAGGTGTGACGATCGCCTGTGCAGTGAAAAGAAGAAATTCGATTTCATTAAAATTATATTTGTTATTAATTATATTAATTATTATTTTATATTTTCTCTATGGCAGGGAATCATAATATCTTTCGGTACATGTCGTAAGAGATGAAAAAAGGGGTTGTGTCGGGACGACAGCCGATATAAAATTCTGTTAAACAATATGAGGAATTCTAAACAAGACTTTGGCAGATTGCCCTATCTCGGATGTGCGCTCGGATCACAGCTTTGCAGGTGAAAAGAGTTATCACGGTGCATGGTGTTTTTCAGATATACATATATTTAATAGGAGAAAATCTACAATCAGTCAATACTAATCTTGAGTGTTGGAGAGTAGCACTTGAAGAAATGGGATTAAAGATAAGTAGAAATAAACCCGAGTATGAGGTTTAGATGAACAGGTAAGCCAGCTAACGTCAATAAGCAGTTATAGGCTAACCTAACTATATTATACTTATTAGTTTTACTCTTGTTTAGTACGCTATTCATACCCGTTGTTAATAACAAAATATTTTCCCGATAAATTCAGAATGATGACTATTAGGTACACAGAGTTTCCTTAAATAAGATAATTTTAAATTGTATTTTACCATGTACAAAATATGGTTTACGTTTTACAGTTAATATATTATAAATAAAGAATTAGCGTAAAACTGTATACAACTTTCAATCTCGATTGGATCTATAATAATTACAACATTAAAAAAAAGAACAATAATATTATTTATAAACACATAGTCACTTACGTATTTGAATTATCTATTAAATTTGATTAGATCGAATTCATCAACATTAATAATTAATAATAATCGATAATTAATTGAATAATTATATGATGATGTAATAATACCACAGCTAATGTTTAGAAAGTACCTTTACTAATAAAACGAATCTGGTATTATGATAATTATTATTTACTATATTATTATAATATTCCGATTTTAATACATATTTTAAATACAATGCGTTTTCAAAACCCGACACACATTACTTTATGAAATACTAAAACACTTTTATGCGGCAGACAAAATGAACGTTAAATGATCAAATATAAGTTTGGCAAACTTACTCACTGTTTTATCGGTACTTATATATTAATACTAACTGTATAATCATTATGTTACATAAGTTAGGTAATTTTTTAACCGATTTTTGGTAGATTTTCGTGGGCAAAATTCAGTCTGTTTCATACAAATCGAATTTTAGACTCTGAATGTACAGCGAATAAGATTCACTAAAAAACGTGGGTTTTCTTTTTTCTCAGAAAACACTTTTTGAGATTGGTAAAAAAAAAAATGGTCCAATTTTTCATCCCGTACTTTTAATGCGGATTTTAAGCCCCGCGGTACTTTAATTGAAAAAAAAAATGCCTAGATTCCTAACAGTCTTTCTATTGAAATTAAAATACTGATATCAAATATCGATACCCCCATAGTACGTGTCACACACGTTTACCTTATTTTTATTTTGTTTTTGTATTGATTACTGTAGCCTATATACACTTAACAATTAGGGAAATACAACATATTTATATCGTAAATATTACATGCTGAAATTACAAATAACTATTGCACAACACTTTTACAAGTATAATAGCTATAAAAAATTTACTATATACTTATACTGTCGCATAAGTACTAGGAAAAAATGGTACCTATCTATCTACCCATACTTAAACAAAAAATAATAATATTTAAAAAAAAATTATTACATTGACATGAATTTAGTTCAACGACTGTCGTGGTTTATCGCTGATAGTGATGATAGATTGGTATAATATTATAATGATTATACGTACCTACCTACTATTATACAGTTGTAAGATAATAAGATGTAAGATGGACACTCGACAAGAATAGTTAATGTGACATTGGCAAAAATATTCACAATAATATATCACAACTGTAGTTATACATAATAATAATAAACTCTTGTCATGCCTATTGAACGATATTCAAGAAGTATTGATAAATCATAATAATAATAATATATAGATAGACGTTGTGACATAAATACATCATATTATTATTACTTTATAAGATGATATGATTCATACAAATATTTATATATATTTATTAGCTTAGACATGTATTAAAAATTCTATAGGAAAATCAATAAAAAAATCGAAAGGTTGAATATATAGGGCACATTTTGAATGCAACAACAAATCATTGCAAACAAAATACGATTTTGAAAGGTAGGCCGGTAGGCTCGGTTTTTTTTTTTTTTAAATAATTTAAAATGTTTATGTGCTTTTACTAGTTTCGTCAAAAGGTTTAAAGGAATTATAACTAGTATCAGAACAACTAATAATTATAGTCATAATATCAAATTTTCGATAATTTTAATACTTATACGAGAAATATTATTAACAATACAAAGTTAATGTTATAAATAATAGTTTCGTATCAAATTAATATAAGATGATGTCAGTAGTATAATAGGGACTTGGCATTCACGTAATACTATTAATTATATGAGTAATTCTTATTTTCTTATAGTTTTATGTTAATATATTTAATCAACATTATTAATTATCAATTTATCTTGAAAAATAACCTTCATAATCTGTACGTTACTTTATGTACTATAATTCAATGTTTTATTAAAGTCAAATTTGAAGAAAATCGCCAGCAATAAAATAATAAAACAAAAAATAAAGACCTGATACTGCTGATAGGAAGGATGTATGAAGCGATTTAATTTATACACAAAAATAAATCATTGCTAACGAAATACGATTTTGAGCGAAGTCTTATACAATTTTCGAACGTTTTTCATTAACCAAAACCATAATTTTATCTACATAAAACCAAATAAACATTTTAAAACTCGTAAATTTCAAATGCCTATGAATAACTTAAAAATCTTTAAAATATTTCAAAAATTTTACCAAGTCTTAAGAATGCCAATTTAAGTGATAAATGAAAATTTTAGGTCTCTACATTTATTTTCAACCAAATAACAGTATGAAAACAAAATAGAAAATAATGAAATCTTTTTTTCATGTTTACCCAAACTAGTACGGTTATCAAACTCGTTAAATACAGATTTTTGCCCGTAAAATTATCACCAAGTGTCCGAACAGTGTAGCACCTGTATGTAATACTACACGTATTCGAAGCATTATAATAGTTGAAAGGTGAGTTTTTTTTTTTTTGTTTTTTACAATATTATTCACGACTCTCCGGTGTTTTATAAGTTTTCCACGGACCGCGTGATTGAAATTTTCACTCACGGAGATGGCGGCAATTGTTCGAAAACACAAAAACCGGACCCGGAGTACATTATTTTTTTAATCATTCAAACGGCGAATCGACGACATTAAACAATATAAATTAAATAATAATAATGAAAAGAAAAATCGTCTTCTGAACATATAGTTTCGTCGTTGTTGACGGCGCAAGACGTGACCGTATTAATGATAGTTACGTAAAGCTACATAATTGCAGTCTGATATTATATGCGAATTGCGAATCGAGAAGAAAACGTTAATTGTCTACACCGTGGATATTGGCAGATTTCCATTCATCGCGCATATACCTACCTAAACCGCTGCGGCAATAAGAAATGCCATGACAGTCTTGTTTTTTTATAATGTAATCGTACGCGTTTAGGTATCTACACACACAATTTACAAATTAAAAATCGGGACGGCAAAAATATTAAGTGTATGAGTACCACCTACTCTCGTCTTTAGAATATTTTCTAATGTAGCGTAGTAATACAAACTATGTAACACATTATACATTATCGCATTGCCTATTGGTTCAAAGCTAGGAAGTAACGAGTCGTAAATCTCGTAAATTTACTAAAAATTAACTACAATATAACTGAAAATCACTAACTTGTTATTTGACGCTTACTATTTCCCTCTATTGATTTTGTAACTTATCGAATAACGGTAAAACTTACTTCGTTACAATATTTACAATTACACTTTAAAAACTCATTAAGTAATTTGAATTTTAATGGCTAAAATTACTAATAAATTATTATAGATATTAATTATTAATAATATACATACAATTTAGGTTAAATAATATTTCTAAAATTAACCTACGAGTTTTATAATTTTCCTGTAAGTATTTTATATATTAAGTTCTTAAGCCATGATAATTACTTGTAACTATTAACTTAGTTACTAAAATATATAACTTTTCCAGCTTCGTCTAAGTCCCAGAATTCGACAAATGATAACATGCAACGAATTGTACGTCACAAAATATTTTTTTCTCGATATCATACAGTTTGACTATTGCGTCTCGTGACATTATGTAGACGACGAATACGAAAATACACGAAAAAAATTCACTATTTACTAGAAAAATTGTTTATTAATATTATTACATATAATTACCTATAAGTATATTATGTAGTTATAAGGAGAAGGAAAATAATGAAATTTAAGTCGAAAACAGAATAGATATTTGGAAATAATGTTTTCTAGAAGGACTGATGGGTGTTATCTTGTCATTACGAAATATTATTATATAGGCACAAAAATGTATGTTTCGTTTTATTTTACCACTACAGAATAGTATACTTACTACGCTTCAGACATGTTATCGAAAATACCTATTATACCCGTCAGAATATACCAATTTTTTTCTCTCACCCGTCTGTTTGATTTCCTTAGAATCTATTGAAATTATGCAAACATCGCATAATATAATATTTAATTTTATAGTTTACGGAAAAATGACAGCACGTAACTATTATATATTATTACAATCCGCGATCTTGCATTGAGATTTTTTTATTGTTTGTCAACGATATTTGTAAATTTGTCGTGAAAATATGTATAAGATAAATTGCGTATAAACTTTATTGTAAAAAAAAAAACATGACTTTGAGGTGTTATTAAAGATAAAACTAAGTGCGCATGTGTAGATAATAAGAATAATATTTTTTTAAACCGCTATAGGTTAAACATATACCCAATACCAATGTTAATGAAAACAAAATATTTTTTTTTAAGAAAATACGTGTTATAATTATTTTTCCAGAGACAATTTGTTCAAAACACTTACACGTTGTTACGAAAATAACAAATAAATTCTCTCCCGAAACGTAGACAATCAAAATGTACACATTAGATAGGTGTAGGTCGTAGAGACATTATTATATCTAATGATTTAGCTGAAAAACTATTATAGAATTGATATTTTAATTTTTTTTTTTTTAATTTGAAGGTTTAATAATAGGTATAATCAGATAAAACATTCGTAATAAGTACCCAATAACCTCGCTTAAAATATTAATTACCGTAACTTTTATTCGTTCAATTAGAAATTAATATTGAGGTAAATTAAAAATGCATTAACCCCTAGCAGACGCAGTGCAGTAGACGAGGTATTATATTACATAGTTATAAGTATACGAGCGTGTTAATTATTGCGATGCGTTGTGTGTATTATATTTGTTTGTAATAGTTTACGGTCATTTTATCAGCCTAATGTGTATAATATTATTATACATTCGGTAGGTAACAACTATCAAGTTGTTTGAAAATATTTATACAAAGATTAATGCGTGATAATGAGAGTTGCGCGCGCAAGCAGAAGACGGAAATACGAGGTTGTTTTCAGTTTAAAAACCCGGTAATTTATTGAAACAGAAAAAATATATATACATATATATTACGTCGATTTGTCACGTGTTAGAATGTAGACCTAAATTTTAACAAAAACAAACATGGAACCATCAATTATTATGTTAAAATAAATTATCATATTACGATGATTGTAATCGCTGAATTATTTAGTAGTCGGACAAGGTGATTAGAATATCCGGTGTAGGCCGTATAATTTACCGGCCGGCGACTGCGGGAATGTAGCCAAATGTTGAAAAAAAATATTTTACATAGGAAGCGAATAAACTACTTGATTAGAATTTTTAATTTCACGTTTTTCAGATCTATACGGAACACATAGTAAAACGTTCTAAAAGTTTTTTTATTTTTTTATTAAAATGTAGAGAAAACATAATATTCGTAGATAAGTAGTTTCGGGGACTAACAAGAAAATCTCTATACCTGATAAACTCGAAGTAGAAAAAACTAGAGACCAGACAATAAAAATATATTATAGGACATTTTTACGAGGACGATGTTTTATCAAACGCGAATAATTCGTTCCTTCAAATGTGAGTTGAATATTTTTACGAGAATATCGTAAAACTTCGACGAGGTCGTTTCCATATAGGACGTTGTCATCTACACATTTTATAATATGACTTTTGTCTCTAAATTCACGAGAGTGATGAATAAATGAAAGATGCAATGTTTGTTTAAAACACGTGAAGAATCTTTGAAACAGATTTGACGGTTACGCAATAAAACATTTGAATATTTTCTTAACTGCCAGATGAATATCTTAGCTTTGCACAGTGGCGATATCGTAACCAATGAGATCCATCCGGGGTGCTATTATTGCTAATTGAAAACTTTAATATTGTATTTAATTCCAAAATCTTCGTTAAAATTGCCTATATACAACCTCTTGAATACTAAGCGTATCATCATACGCTTGATGACTTGTAGTATAAATACTCGACAGAAAATTAATTTTTATTTTGTAAATTAGAATCGTAAGAAACGTTTAGGTTTCCCGGTGGATTTTCAATTTAATAATTAAACACCCACGGTGCATTCAACGGACACGTCCCGTGTCGTCATCGTAAAGTATTTTTTAGCTAGTTGATAACAGAAAACACATTTTTGAGTTATTTCAGATACCAGTGACGTCAAACTAATTTTTTGTATTTGTGACAATAAACATTAATTTATACCCCACCTATCTCTAGACGGTATTAAATTTAAGTCGTGAAGGGCATAGACCCCCAAACCAACTACCACTATCTTAAACTATAAAATATTATTTTCACAAATTATATTATTTACTGAATAATGTTTATATTGTTGCATCATTTAATATTTTAATGCCTAATAGGTACTTTAATTTAATAAGATCATTAGAAACCGATATTGATATTTAACATAGGCAGGAATACATTGATTTTACAATGATATTTATTTTAAATAATGAGCATAGAGAGGGATTTATTGGTTTTATTATGATGTGTGTTTTTATATTATAATTATTGTTTTTTTATGTCTGTGAACAACTTTTCTACCAAAAATCTTGCTCCGATATATGTAACACCGTGTGTAAAACTCTTTCTGAAAAGTAATTTTGTCTAGTTAGTGCATTATAAACGTTAATTTTTGATTTTCTTATGGGTTTTAAAAATAATTGAGAAAAACATGGAAAAAATTATAGATAAAACGGAAAATATTTACAGAACACCACGGCGTTAGGTTAAGTTATAGGTTAGATTTCATTTAATTTTGTATACATGATATTTTCTATCAGAATTATTGCTCCAATCGGAAAATTACACGAGAGCGATTTTGTTCCTTTTAACATACGGCAAATAAAAAAGAGAGCCGTTTTTTGATATCTAAAATATTCTTGATAATAATTTAGGAAAATCAAAAAATACGATTTTTTTCAAATTACTACGCGACGATTTCTTAATTTAAAGTTTGTACGACTTATGTTTTGAGTTTTCTAATAAAAATATATTTCCGAGAGAAAAGCGACAAGAGGCCTTTTTTTTATTGAATTCTTAATTTGGTTAGCGAGTTAAAAAATCTTTTTTTGATTTTCCGTATATTTTTTTAATAATTGAGTAAAACCGAAAACAACATAGAAAGGACGGGAAAGTTTACGAAAACAATGCTTTTAATATTTTCAATTTTGTTTTTTTATAGCGGTTCAATTAAAAATATTTGTCGAGACTTAAAATTTAGACAGAGAACTTATATTTACTTTTTTTTAAGAAGTAATACAATTTTAAAAACATTTAAGCCATTTTTGATCTATAACTAAGTTATTAAACATTATAATTTTAGGAGATTTTCATATAACTTTTATTCGTTAGGTTTGATACAATTGTTAGACCAAACAGAAATGCTTAACAATTTAACAGAAGGTTCATTATAAGTTGTTATTAGTGGCTAACAAGAAAATGTTGAATTTAATGTAGTTTTTATTTTATAAGAATTTTAATTATAAAATTTGATGAAAATCGTAAATATTACCTACGACCTTTCAAACCATGTATAACTCTGTTCAGAATAGTTTTTGTTGATTGATCGTTACGAACAGATATACACTGAATTCCCATTTTTATCTTACCCTCCCAACTTCTCACCTTCAACCAGTAGCCCATCCATCTTGCGAAATATGTCCTTCTTATCAATATAAATATAATAATATGGTCATTATTTTTCGTTTGATTAGCATTATATTTTTTATATTTTGCCTTCTAAATTTATACAAAATTATATTATTCTTTTACTATATAATCTCGTATATTTTAACCAAAAATAGTTAAATAATAATAATACTATTGTATACATGTTTTCACTGTATATAGCCTACGTGCAGCCTAACAGTAGCCGCAGTTGTTGATTTAGAAATTAATTAGGTACTATTGATTATTTATCGTAAAACTAACAGTTATAGTTATAGTTAAATATTTGTCGGCTTTTAATAATGCAATTACTAATTAAAAACGCCTTAGTCTAGGAATGGACTAGTTCGCGTTATTTGTATTTTTGTTCACTTCTTGTCTTAATTATAAAAGGTACAATGTTTTATACTAAACTAATAAAATAATACTAGGGGATATATCCACCTCTTGAATTAGGTGTGATAGTCGCCACATCTAACACATCGTAACTGTCTAATGCAATAGGAATTAACATGGGAGCCCATTAGTGAAATTTCAGGGAAGAGAAATATAAAAACTACTCTCAAAACGTATGCTACATAAGGCCTTAAAGTTATCTCAACATGCAAATATAATAACTAATATCAATTTCAGGAGTGGAGAGGGCAAATGCCCAGTCTTGCTCCACCCATACCCGCCCATGAAAAGGAAATGTCGCTGCTGATCGGCAAACGTTTTATCCGCAATCGATCCGCCTTTATATATTCTTCCTCTTCTTACTTTTATTTTTTCCCCCTATTATTTCATCGCCAATTGCGTACGCGATCTTCAATAACCTCTACAGCCGATTTTTTGTATTTTTTGGTCTTATCTCTTCTCCGAGACTTAAATCTCTAACACTCGTATCGCCTCGATTCGGTCCCGTACGTCACCCGGATCTCTCGTTTTTCCCGCCATACGTCCCAATACCTTATAATTCAACCGGGGATAATAATAATATATCACGCGTCCGGTTACACGTGTATACAAGCCAAAAGTTAACGTTTCTGCCCGGGTACACGCACTTTTATTGCCATGTTGTCGAAACCTTCATAAACGTACAGATAAATAAACAACGCAAATACCGGGCGAGCTGTGGGCGAACACGAGCAGATTTTATTATTATAATCTCGAAACACTAGTATTATATTTATTATCATTTTTATTTATTTTCTTTTATTCCTAATAATATTATAATATATTTACCGTACTTGCGGCGAATTCTAAAACACGATAACCAGACAGTACACCTATATAATAATATGAATGTGTATCGATCATTTTTATTATTATGTCGTTCATGGTCACCTCCGGTTACGCGGAGGAGGGATAGTTTTATAATATAAACCATAAATATAATAATAATAATAATAATAATAACATAAGTGTATTATAGGTACCTAACCTAAAGTTTACGCGGGTCGTTCAAGGACGGGCGTCGAGGGGACCGGGAGTGAAAGTGCCTTTCGGAGACGCGCTGGCGCCCGCGGGCGCTTCCATACTATTATCATTATTATTATTGTTATTATTATATTATCTATGTGTACCGGATCGCCGGCTGTTGAGGCCATTTACCCACGGCGCTCCGGGCGACGGGTTCTCCGGTCGGCAGTACTGTATCGTTACAATATATGTCGTATTACAGTATTATTATCATATGAGCATATTACACATATATATATAAGTAATACCGGGTGAGCCGTCTCGCCGAGACGTCATTTTTCACATTTAGGGTCATACCTCACTGTCTGCGTGATCCGAGTATACCTATTATAGTCGTGTATATAGTACGTATGTTTTTTTTTTTTTTTTTCTAATAAAGCGCCGCTGTATGAGAAAAACAATTGAAAAAAAAACCGTCCCGGTCACCGATAACACGCGCTTAAAACGAGTATTAGGTAAGTATAATATAATATAACGCGTCTTGCGTTATACTCTATAACTCCGTCTGGACACTGAACGAATCTGAGAAAACCGCCGATTTTTCGACGATATACGATTATTCGCCGACGCGTTGTCTTATTAAACGTCTAAACTATATAGGACTAAAAGACTTGATAGTCGACGCCATGGCGATATGCGTATCTCTGGCTTCTGTGTACCGTGTTAGTCGAATCCTGGTCAAAATATCCCTAGTAAAACGTAACTCGACACCACAAACATCTCAGGCGGACATTAAAAAAAAAATTCGAAATAACTCCTGTAAAAATATTTCTATTTAAATGTGCAGCCAAAAACTCGAATTTTTTTTTAATCGAATTATGTTATCATTTAATCAATTATACTCAATTATTGTTGGAAATACGTCCAAAAATAAATACATTTATGTATACTACTCAATAGAACAATAATAATTTTATTCTAGTTTTCGGTTTGACAATATTTTAAAAAAACGGCTAATTATTCTCCTGTTTACATTTTGTTATCCGTGTCTAAACTTCAATTTGAAACTATACGCCACCACACTTTGTTGTTCTACGTAACTAACGTAATAATTTTACTATGTAGCCCGTCGCAGTTATATAGACTGTAGACAGTAAATGCGGGTGTGGCGTCCTTTATATAATTATTCGAATATAAACTTTACAACAATACGCATTTTGCGTTCAGATTTACCGTCGCCATAATATTATTTGTATATGAACAGCGGCGTTTGATTGATAAAGTCAACGATTATTTTCCATTGTAGCGTGTTTTTTAAAACAAATATTTTTTTATCATTCGTATCGATCTTATGCGTTTTGATAAATTGTCCGGAATTACCCGCGTTATTACTTATATTCACGATTGCATTCTAAACGTACGCGTATTAGTATAGTATGTGCGATTGACAGTGCAGTCTCTAAACTACAATATCATTAATATCGCGTTGGAGAAATTATTATTATAGTTTTTTTTTTTTTTGTAGACAAGTCTTTTATAATAAATGATTCGTGCGCTATTTGTATTATTGAAACGCGCGTAAGCAATATTCGAATTGGTTTGTGTTCTCGAATAATAAAATATCGTTACACCGATAAATAGGTAGGTTCTTTTATTTATTTTTCCCGTTTTTTCAAAAACATAATGCACACCTATTTGAAAAACAATATGTTGGTTTAATGTAGCTCGACCTTTTATTTAATGCGATTATATTTGAAACTCTGTTTGATCAGCATTTTTTTCTAACATTACAATATTATGCTTTTGCGATCGGTTTAATTGATTACAATTTTTTTTTTGTTATTCTATACAATTACGGTAAACACAAACGCTGTTTAATTTCAATGTTAACTAGTCCATGTGACAAAATGCTAATCACATGTATAATTATTTATCCGATGAACCATTCGCAACACTATCCGATATCTATACGTATTGGATTAACATTAGATAATAATGTATCAACTGCAGGTACCTATTTTTACAGAATGTAATACATTATTATTATGGTGTTTGGCAAATAGTATGTACATTATGTCCCTATATAGTCTACTAAGATAACCTATACAATATTATACCTTGCAAATTAAAATTAAAAATATAGATTAAGTTGTCGTAAAACCGTGTGTTGTTTTTTTAATACTATCTGCGCAAAGTGCTGTAGGGAAAAAAACATACCAATAAAAATTGAAAGTGCACAATAAAATCCTATAAGAAACCCTCACTAGCAACAGTGGACAATGCCATAAAAAGTGTATTTAAATCGTATTGGCTGACAGAAACGAAATTAATCGAATGAATTGTTTTTTTATTAATAATGTACATATGAAAACGGAATACATCAACGCACATAACAAGTTACACATAACACGCGTCCTACGATGTTCAGACCGATCAAATAGATAATTCGTACAACAATTAAATATTCTACACGGTTTTTTTCTATATACATATATAAGCGTGTGGGCTATCCTGCAACACCATGCCTAACGCTGACGGTGCATAAATTATTTAAATGTGGGAGAAGTCGAAAAACTATTAAATGCGAATTATTACCATTATTACTATTGATTGTAAAATCGACTTGTTCGCGACGGTAATTAAAAATTTTACCTGAATAGCCGTTTATTCGTGGGAGTCACAGAGGCGATATTCGTGTTCATCAGATTTTTCTCGTCCGATTACCAAACGTTTGAACCTCGGAAAAAAACACCCGTACGCCAAATACGCCGTCACTAGGGTAGAATTTCCCTGCCTATTTTTTATTGTAAAAATACATTATCTTCTATGTATATTAAAAAACATGTCCCTGACTGATTGATCATCACCTAGGCTAAACTACTGGACGGATCTGGTTGAAATCTGGCATACAGATAGCCATTATAACGTCGGCATCCACTAAGAGAGGATTTTTGAAAATTCAACCCCTAAGTGGGTAAAATAGGAGTTTTTAGGTATTATTGGTACGAATATCTAATTGTTTATTTATTTATTTTTGTTTATTCGTGGTAACCCACGTTACATGGTTGACAGTTTGGTTGTCACGTACAAGAAAAATATTATTATTGTTATTATTATTACTATTATCACTACACTATTATCCAGGAATAGAGCAAAGCATTGCCGGAGCAGCTAGTTCTTTATAAATCAATAGTGAATAAATAACCGAATACTATAGTATAGAGTCTATACTTTATTTATACTACTGTAAAAGAAAACGAAATTGATAAAATATATACGCTTCAATGTTAGGGGTGGGGGTTTGTATATGTTTAAACTCCCAAAAATCCATACCGTTGATACTGACGCCTGTGCATACACAAAATGTCTCCCCCCCCCCGAATTTGTTTGCAGGGGTCTGTAGGAATATTGCAAGTTAAAAAAAAAAACACTGGCATTCCTCAACAACGTGATGAAATCCATATTGAATAATTCAACCCGACTGTTATCACTTCAATCGTTGAAGTGAAAAACTTCGAAAATATTAATTATAGATTTTCTATAATATACCTTAAACGTAATATAATAAAAACGATATCCAATAATAATAATAATAATATAATATATGTATAATGGCTTTATTCGTTTCAGTAAAAAGCGCAGTACCTTTTGCCCCTTAACAAAAGTGAACTTTTTTTTTTTTTTGAAAAAGACGAACATAATATAGCCAAGTAGAGTATAGGTACGTAATATTATTATATCGTAATAAAATGTCACTTACCCGAGGAATGCTCATGGTGTTGCCTGTCGTCTTGCAAATGATGCTGTATGGGGTCCACGTGGATGTGGTGGTGGTGCAACGTGCACTCGGCATCGGTGCAGTTGAGCATGGCGTTGTATAGCCCCGGCCCCGCTGCAGCAGCTCGGCGGCGGTACAGGTGCACTACCGCAGTGGTTGGGTTACGGCCTAACCAAACCCGACCGCGCGCGGTTACAACGACGACGGCGATACCGACGTGCGTGCGGTGGTGCGGTGGTAAACTGCGTTCCTTTGGCCGCCGGTCACCCGTTCTCCATGCGCGTGTCTTGAACGCACGACAGCGGTCCGCGGTATCATCTAAAAAAAACCTGATGGACAAGAAACACACGTGGTTAATGTACGGACACGCGCACACGACTAAAAGAATATTGTATCGTATCGTATCATAATAATAATAATATAGGCACATAATAATGATATTATAACAGCGTACACACACACACACAATATCATAATCCTAATATCGAAAAGAGAATGATTATATTGTGTTTATTCATATTAGCTGCTGTGCAGTATTATTATTATTATTATTATTATTTTTTTTTTTTTTTTTTTTTTTTTTTTTTTTTTTATCAGTAACACACTCTTAATAATATTACTATTATTATTATGTATAGGTATATAAACGCTTTGTAATACTGTTCGTTTTGTTATCTCGGATGACGTTTTTTTTCTTTTCGGTATAGGTAAAATTATCGACTCGTTTAACACATTCGCGAATTATCTGCTGTAGCGGGGAATTACTTGATAAAAAAAAAAAAAAAATTATTAGTTTTCATTTCGGCTTTTTACAATTCGTTTTCACAATTACATCCGGTCAAGTAAAACGGATTCAAGACGAACAATTGAATCTGATTTTTTTCCCTTAAATTTGAATAGGTGTTTGTTAAAATTCGATCGGTTGTACCGTGACACTCCTAGTTTTTAATATTCTAATAAATTATTCCTTAATATTTCGTTCTAAACAGATTTCAGATAAAAATGTTCTTTATTTTAACTTTTTACAAAACTATAGTTAATTTTTAATGGCTTTTTTAACATTTGATTTTTAACTGGTGCTCTTTTATTTTATTCAACTCGAAAATATGAAATTGTTTTATTACCATTGAATATATGTATCCTACCATTGAGTAAATTGTTGTTTGATATACGATTTTGTACACACACACACACATGTAAATCTTTCAGTTACTGCAGAGCACTTACTACGGTATTACGAATAACACTTTATCCTCGACCTATAAATATAATCCGGATATAATAATTTAGTAGCCGGCTACAATATGAGCCGAAAATCGAATGTTCGAGGGTTAATTACCTATTTGTTGTTGTAGATTAATAACTAATGGACTCCTGGGCACGTGTGTCAGAATAGTATTACGGAAAATCATATTTCACACATTATGTAAAAATGCACAGAAAAAAACATAATATTATACCAAGAAAAACATCAGCCAAATGAAGTTAAATAAAGATTATCAAATAATATCTAATTTAACGTGACAATTATTCTAAATAATGAGAAAACGCAAAATCGTTTTATAATACAAAGGGACATAACCTAGTATTTCGACCGTAATAAATGTCCCAAAAAAATGGCTCAAGGGTGGGAAAACGGTAATAAATTCATAATAAGTAATAAAAGTTTTTCTTTCGAGGTAAACAAATTGTATTATTACGTGTGTTAAAAACAATTTGAATTATCAAATTTCACACGAATAACTTGTATGGATATAATAATATAGGTACGCTAAACATTAACGATAATATACACGCAAAAATACTAACAAAATATCTAAATAATTTTAAACAGCAAAAAATAAAAATTGCACCATTTTGAGTATTCTACGAATTAAATATCCGTAAAGACGAGTTAATCGCAAAAACAAAAATAATAATGCTGCTGATACTATTGATGGGTGCGCTACTATAAGGGAATTTGAAAAGGTTGAAGGAAAGATATATGCGTAACTTAGTTTATGTGTGTACGCAACAATAAAACATATTACTAACGAAAAAGGATTCTGAGCATAGGTCATATTCGTCCCATATATGGTTACCCGGACATCGATAAACAATTTACGAAAAGTTGCCAATTTTTCCCAATAACTATTATATGAAAACCCTTTGGAAATTTGTTTACAGAACCTAAAAAAAGAAAGAAAATAATTAATACAAACGCTTCAAGTTTTGAAATTGTGTGCCGTTGACGGCAAAACGTCTATAACACACCTAATATATTATTATACCTGTATATATGACCCGTGGGTCATAAACTGTGTGGCATACACACTGTATACAACGGCCGATTCAAGGGGGGGGGGGAGCAAAAACAAAAAAATTGAGCTATACTTATTTGAAAGCCTAACATCAAATCCTAAATATTGGACCCCCCCTCCACAAAAAAATTCAATATCCCTCACTGCAGTTAAACAATATTATATAATTCGAAAAAAAAAGAGCGTCTCATATAGGGTATTGATCGATTGAACTGGTCCGATTGAAATGACGATTTTTTTCAGCCATTGTCGAATATGGCGTGCATCACCGGGGGGAGGGGGAGGACGTATACAGGTGCCGTACGTGTACTTACTTTCTTTTTTTTGTTTACCGTCGAGCTCGCTCGCGAGTTTCCACCTACGGACAAGCGTTGCGAAAACATATAAAACGATAATTACTATGCGCGCTAGGATCCCACGGATTGATCACAATGACTGTGCAGACCTCATTAGTGGTGTGGTATAACGTCATAACGGTTCGATAAGTGTGCTACACGCGATTTTAATTGACACACAAAATACCGGGGGGGGAGAGGAAGGCATATCAATAATGATAATAATAAACGTCTCGTGAATGATCCGCAGACGACAACACGCCGGTCAATACTCGACGATAAGGAAAACTTCGGAAACCAACAAAATCAGAGCAGGGGGGAGGGGAAATCATCGTTATCAATAACGTAATTGTGGATGGTTTGTTGTTTTTCTTTTTCGATCATTATAAACCGCGTCGTTCCGATATATTCCGCTGCGATTTCGCGACGAGTAATTTTATGCCATTATATTGTATATTTACTGCATTATATAGATGAGCGCAAAACACAATATTGTTAATATAGGTGTGATATTATGTGCAAGACTTTACGTGCGTGACCTGTAGCAGCGCACTCGTAAAACCGTACATCGTATAATAACTGTATAGTATATATTGATGAGTTATAAATTTCGTCCGCAGGCGTTCGATACTTTATCGCCGTCGTCTTTTACGCCTTTTTACTGGTACGAAATAGATATTGAAGGTTTTCGCGGTGACCGAATCCACCGGCTAGGTCAATATATTTCCGAAAAAAATACAATCTTGCGGATAGAGAAAAAATCATCTCCGGAAAACAAACGGTATATCTCCAGTCAAAAAAAAAAATATATCACATAATATATCTTCGTGTATTCTTTTGTTTATCGTTTTTATTTTTTTCATAAAATAAAGTTCACGATTAAACACAATTTAAAACTTACTTTGTGTAATTTTTGAAACGAAACTAATGATAATTTATAGTAATCCGGAAGTAAATTAATTAAATTATAAACTATAAACTAAACATTACGATTATAAATTTAGATTTTAAAATTTAAGATAATACCCATCGAATTTTAGTATGCATCACTCGACAACCATTCAAAGAACAGTCGTCACTCGTTATACACGATAAAATTGTATTATATTTAATATTATGTATTAACAACATATTTTACTCAGTGAAGTAATTAGGAATTTGTCATAGGTGAGAGCGGGGGGAAATAATTTTTCCAAAGAGTCAACATTCCTTCCTATAACTACCATATCTTCAATATACGAGTAAACACACTATAGATAATAAAATAATTCGACAAAAAACATAATTTTTTGTTATTTTTTTTTTTTGTATCTGTGAAGAACAAATTGTCCACCAGAAATCTTGCTTTAATCAAAAACCGATAAGATGGCTATTTTGAACTTTTTTGGAACTAATTGATGCATTAAGAATGTAATTTTTTGATTTTCCTTGTAGTTTTCACTACACTTGAAAAATACCGAGAAAAAACATGTAGGAAAACTGAAAAATGTTTGGCAATTCGATTTTTTCGATTCAGTTTTTCTACCAGAAATCTTATTCCAAATTTTAGGTGTAGCATCTTTTCTGAAAAAAAATTGAGTACAGATTTTTCTTGTAGATCAGATCTTTTTTGTATGGGAAGTATTTTGATCGAACGTCAATCGGAACATAGGTACTATACAGTAGCATGACAAATGCCATTATAAAATAATATAATATTTTTAAGCGTAGAACGCGATGCTTTCAATTTTAATGTGTAGGTACTCGTATTATATTTTATAGGCAGTCTAGGGAAACTCGAGTTTTTAAACAATTCTAATTACTTTTACGATTTTCGTTCCTAAAACAGGCACCTACATACAGTTTTTTTTTAACGTAAGTGCAATATTGTCATTAAAGATTATACGACTGCCACGTATTTTTATTTGCGTGTATTATTATGTTTTCAACGTCATATACGTAAAACCATTGCTTTATTAAA